CACGTATATATAGTACAGTTAAGTTACGCAAGTATACAATTAATTCAATTAAAATTTAATTAAATTAAACTAAATTATAAACTAAGCTTAACAAAAATTGTATAATTTATTAAATCGCAAAGAGAGTTATGTAAGCAAAAACAAAAACAAAAACATACAAAAAACTAAATAGTGAGAGCAAATTATGTAAATTATTAAAAACACACTCACACACACACACACCCACACACACATAGCATATATATGTATATATAACAGTACACACATCTATATATATATTTAAATATATATGTATAATTAAATTAAATTAAATTGGTTACAAAAAATACAAGAAGAAGAAAAACAAATTGAGAACGTATCATTAAAAATTACAAATTAAAAAAAAAAAATCAAACAAAAACAAAATATATTAATGAAAAAACATAAAATTTTCAAAAACTACAAAAAAATTATGAAAAAATTGTTTTTATTTCGCTTTGGTTCACAAAATTGGCTGCGTTTTTACTTAAGTTTCGACTAAAAAGAGAAGAAGAAGAAAGCTAGATGATGAAGAAGAAGACAAATACTTCCATTATCCAAGTTCAACTAGTTCCATCATCCAAACATTTTTCCCCTCCCCACATACAAAATGCGAAATGCAAAATCTAGAGAACTTAAGCATAGGTTTCGACAACAACAACAACACTGTAAAAAACTACACTGAACGAAAAGGTAGATGTCTATTTAAGAAAGAGAAGAGCAGAGAAAAGGAAAGACAGAGAATATAAGAGCTGTTCGATTGAAAGAAAAAGAGAGATAAAGTTGGAGCAAACCTCGGCTTACCGAAGTTATAATACACTTTGCAGGACTACATTAAGAGAGAGAGGGAGTGAGAGAGAGAGGGAAAGTAAGGGGCTGAGACAGTTGTCATATAGTCGAGTCAGCATCATACACAAAGGGAGCTAAGAACTTGTTTCTATACAGATAAAGAGAGATCTAGAATATCTCGCTCTCTCTCTCTCTCTCTATCTCTCTCTCTCTCAATACAACTTTTCGTATAGCCCCCCTGCAAAGGTATTATGCCTGACATAGTGCAGAAAAGTTTTTCATTTGATTTGTGCTGCAGTACCTAAAACCGAAGTCCACGCAGACTTGAGAGTGAGGATGTAGCCAATCCTAAGCCCTATATATATACGTATATATACAATCCCTGACTCCACCATATACACAATTCCCCAGATATCCATTAGAAGAAATATCTCATTTTTGCAGCTCTGTCAAAGGAAGAAGAAGAAAGTGCCTAGTGAACCAGTAGAAGAGTTTAGATCCTAAACTTGTCGATATCTCCCCTATTATATCGAAATATATATACACAAACAAACACACACACACAGAGCATATACTAAATACTTGCGAGAAAGTTTCTTAAGCCGGGGCAAATGTATACGATTTATTTGTAAGGTTAGGTTGAAATCGAAACTTTAATATAATCCAATTGGCAATTATTATTCTAGTTAGAATATGATTGGCAAAGCTGGCAAGAAATTTACGGAATGTGTGTGTGAGAGAGAGAAAGAATGTTACATATATATTTATGAATCTAGTATTAAATAAACCCAATTAGTATCCAATTGGCAAACACCACAAGGAACTCCGTTTTGTGTTCAACTTTGTATGTGTGAGAGATCAAGAGAGAAAGAGAGTGAAGTGAGTGCCCGTCATTGAAATAGACTCCTAATCCTAATTAGACTCCAATTGGCGGTTATTTGATCGGAATTTCGTTTTGTGCTCGAGCTTGAAAACGCGGAGAGAGAGTGTGAGAGAATGGGAGAGAGTAAGTGTTCCTTCGGTTGAATTTGTGTGTGTGTGTGAGAGAGAGATAAAGAGATAGAAATGTTTGATTTACTTAAATAAAATCCAATATCAAATGGAATCCATATTGGAATCTTATTGGCAAACTTTACAAGGAATTTCATTTGTGTTCAAGAAAGGGTTAGTAGAGAGAGAGAGAGAGAGTGAGAGAGGGAGTATGCATGTGTGCGTGTTATTTAGTTATGGCAAATTTTTTAGTGCAAAACATTAACCGATACTTAATATGCAGACATATTTATGCGTATATATTTATATATAGATATATATGTACATATATATAGCCAATATGAAATGAGTTCATACACAACTATTTGCATATATACTTACATATGTATGTATCTATGTATATGAATCTACATGTATTGGAATATTCCACATTGTATATTGATAAATTCGTGAGCGAATCGATCCGTTTTATCCAAGTTCAATCTCTAGGGGTGCTAGACTGAGTTATATATAAATATTATATAT